ATGAAGATAATGAGTTAGTACAAGAAGTTGCATAAGATCTATAAAAATTTTTTCAATCCAAAAATTGCAAATACTAAATGAGAAATACCTATAAATGTTTTGAAAAAGTTGAATATACTATTATTTTAGCTTAGAGAATATGAAGTATAATATAGATATTAGAGTATTGAAGAAATAGCTATTATTGAAAAAGTAGAAGCTTATATTCCTATGTTAGAATCTTCTTTAAACTCAATTATATTACAATTCAATTAAATATAAAAAATTAAAAAATTAATGTTTTATATTAATAATAAAAATTTAAATGAAAAATATATTTTGGAGTATACTTATAAAATATAATTTTTAATTTGAATTATTTTATATTTTTATTTTATTTTAACTAATATATATTACTTTTCTATTTTAGTTTTTTTTTATCATAATCGAAGTTAGTTGTTATCTCTTGTAATTCATTGTTTCAATTAGAGTATTCTTATATTTAATATCTGATAGTTTATAAAATTCTAAAAATATTCTAATTTTATCAAAGACAGCAAAAGATTCTGATTTTGGATTGTCAAAACATATATTAAGCCTCGATGACTTGTTAACCATATAATATAAATGTGACAAGAGATTAGTTATCTATAGTTTGAAGTAATTCTCAGAGAAATTTCAAGTAGAAATTATCATTCAGAAACTTAGAATCTAGAGATTCACTCATTATTTACATCTTCTCAGAAATAGAAAGAAGCCTATAGAGAGTATAATAATCTCAATACACATATGTTGAATTTTATAAATAATTCTGAGACATGGAGCCTGGCAATCGTTCAGAAGCAAAATTAATTCTCAATATTAATGAGTGGGTGAGTATAAAAACACTCATTAACTTTAAGCGATTCAAAATTTTAAATTCTTATTATTCTTACCTTACTAATTCTATTTTATGCATACTAATTTAATAATGTGCTGGCGCTAATTCAATTTTTTAAAATAAAAAATCTTAAAATTTCACGGGTAACTTTAGAGCTATCATAAAATCAAATTTAAAATGAAATTCAAAAAATTTTGTCACTACGTATTTAAAAATTAAATAAATAATAAATTTATTATAACATCTCGCTATAAATGTTATACTGTATACTGCACAACTAATCAAAATTTTGGATCAAATATTACGCGAAAAAATAACAATTATTACTTGGTTTTGTTAACTAAAGACTTTGCTAATAAAATAATTTTCTAACCCTAACACGCAATCAAAATTAAAATAACGTTTTATTGTTGTTGCGCTTTATTGTTGTTATTTTGATTTAACGTTACATTAGGTCATGGTTTCATGGTTGGTGAATATGCGATATGAATTTGAATTTAAATCTGATAACTCGATTTAATTAGTTAAAAACATATAATAATTATATGCACACTTGCTATATATTTACCTTGATTTGAAATTGTATAGTCAAGTAATCTACTCATATAGCATGCTTCTGGATTCATTTTATCTGGTTCGGAATAAATATTGTTTTGTCTTTTGTTTGTAGTTGTTAATTCCTTGATTTGGATATGTAGTTCTGAAGTTGGTTTATTTATTTCAATCATCCATTCATTAAAGATTTCAACTAATGTATTTGCACATGGACGATTTGCTGGTATGGCATTCCAACAGGCATTAATAAGCTGCTTAAATAAATTGGGAAGTTCTTCTTTGATTTTTGGACGAAGTCCATTATAACAAATTCCAACTACTAAAAGTCCGTCATGTGGAATTTCATAAAATGGTTGCTCTTCAGAAAGTAATTCATTCATAATAATCCCAAACCCATATATATCTGAAGTCTGCGTGCATTCATGAGATAGCAAAATTTCGGGTGCAATATATGGTAATACGCCAAAAATCGGTCGCTTTTTGGTGGTTGTAAAATAATTTTTTGCATATGTGAAAAAGCTTAATCCTAAATCCGTTATATTTGTTCCATTACGGTCGTCATGCAAAACATTTCCAATATGAAGATCTCCATGAACTAATCCTGCCATATGAATAGCTCTAAGCCCTGTTGAAATATTTTTCAATATTTCTATTTTTTGGTCCCATGATAAATTATTAGTATTTTTTAAATAATTACGAAGATTTCCATACTTTGCATATTCTAAAACCATCATAAAATCATTAGTTTCTGGATCTTTAGTTAATCCATAACACCATATTGTGCCTTCTCCGAACTTTATGTTGATGTGAAATTTAATCTAAAATTTTAAACTCTGTTAAAATTTATATTAACATTTTATTAGTATTTTATATTACCTCTTGCAAAAATTCTTCAAATTTATTTTTTGATGAATTATCCAAGCATTCACATTTATTTTTTGAATTATTCAAGCATTTTAAAGCAACCATCATTTTACCATTTCGCTCCCATTGTTTTGTTTGATTATTCCATTTTATAATATATCCATCAGTCCATGTTGCCGAATAAACCGTACCAAATCCACCTTTATCTATATATTTAATATTTTCAAGTTTGTCAAATTGAATCCATTCTAAAACATCATAATAATTTGATGCTTCCAGTTGTGACTTTTCAATAAATTCATTAATAATCTTATTTCCACTTTCCCATTCTGCAAATTTTGATTTAAAACGATTTTCATTGCATTTTTTACACCAGTTTATATTTTTACATAGACCTTTACAGTCTACACATATTTTGAATCCTGATTTTAAATACCATTTAGACGCCTCCTTTTCATCCTTTACAGTTCCTACACCATACTCATAACATAATCCAAGATGGTATTGTCCGTCTGTATATCCATTTTCAGCAGATTTCAAATATAACTCAAATGCTTTCTTTTCATCCTTGTCAACGCCTTTGCCATGCTCGTAACACAACCCAAGACTACATTGTCCAACGGGGTCTCCATTTTCTGCAGATTTTAAATACAATTCAAATGCTTTCTTTTTATTCTTATCTATGCCTATGCCATTCTCATGGCATAATCCTAAGTTGTATTGTCCACGGGGATTACCCTCAGCAGACTTTAGATACCACTCAAATGCTTTCGCTTCATCTTTAGCTATTCCAATTCCGTTTTGATAGCACAAACCAACATTATTTTGGCTAAATGAATCCCCTCTTACGGCTGATTTCAAATACCATTTAAAAGCTTGCTTTTCATCCTTAACAGTACCTATACCCTCATCATAGCAGAACCCTAGATTGCATTGCCCAAGGGTGTTATCTCCTTCTGCAGATTTTAAATACCATTCAAATGCCTTTTTTTCATCTTGGACTATTCCAATTCCATTTTGATAACAAAATCCAAGATTGTTTTGACCAAGAGGACAACCTTCTTTGGCAGATTTCAAATACCATTTAAATGCCTTTTTTAAATTTTTAGTTACCCCAACCCCATTATGATAACACAGTCCAACATTGGTTTGACCAAGAGAATAACCTCCTTCAGCAGATTTAATATTCTTATTAACGCATATACTATTTTTAGCGAATTTTGAATTCAATTTAAATGCCATCTTCTTTTCTTTAATTAAACTTATTATTATTCTGATTCTACCATTTTTAGCAGATTTTAAATACCATTTAAATGCCTTTTTCTCATCTTTAGCTATCCCGATTCCATACTGATAACAAAATCCAAGTTTACATTGTCCACAAGGACTACCACCTTTAGCGGATTTTAAGTACCATTCGAATGCCTTCTTTTCATCTTTATCTGTTCCTATACCATTCTCATAACATAATCCAAGATTATACCAGTATTGTCCATGAGAATCTCCGCTTTCTGAAGATTTCAAATACCACTCAAATGCCTTTTTTTCTTCCTCATTAGTACATATGCAGTACTCAAGATCACAATTTTCACAGCAATTACTGATATCATCGGATTTTAAACACCACTCTAATCCCTTCTTTTTATCAATTATTAATTTCATTTATAAAATATACGAGCAATGAAAATTAAAGTTTTTAGGTATTTACTATCTGCTATATCATTGTATCTACATTTTCGGATTTTTGTATATTTTAAAAGTGTTACAGTATCCAAATTTATTTCTGCCGATTTTCAGTAACTTTTCTGGGATATGGTTACACAAATAGTTTGATTTGGTAGAAATTCAGAATCGCCACCCAATTAGTATCGAAAAGGATAGGATCGTAAAAGTTTCGATTTATTAGAATATTTTCCCATTAACTTAGGTTAGAATGGAAGCGAATGAAGGGTATTAGGCAAATAAGATTTATAATTTTCTGATTTAATTCCACAGATTAATAAATCATCTTTATACATATCAACTAAATGAGCGTATTTATGTAGTTTGCGGATTTCGAATGTTTTAAATAGTTTGTAATTTCTTTGTTTTTTGAAACTTATCACCAGACATAAAAACATTTGTATACTAACATTGATAGGTAAATATGTATTTGTCTTTAATTTAAAAACCTGAAATTAATAAAACATTCTTATACTGTACTTACCAACTAATTAAAGCAAATGAAAACGTTCAAGTTTCTAGGTTAAAAAAAAAAAAAGCGAATAAAATGATTTGATGGATATTAGGATTTTAATTTGACTGATCAATAAAACGTTGTTATACTTGTTATTATTAAAGCGAATGATTTGAAAGGTATTAGGTAAATAAGTGTATGTATAAATTATTTGCTGATTTTATTCTATCAATTAAGTAATCATCTTTATACTCACCGATTTAAACGATTTGAAGAGTATTATAGTAGATGTATTTGTGCTCATTATTTGTCGATTTTAATTCCACTAATAATTATACTTACTGACGAAGTAATAATAAGCGTCTGAGCATTAACATGTACGATAAAGAGTGATTATCGAGATTATAAAAATTTCTTATTAAGTTCTTTATAGTTTGTATATTAGTTCGCAATAATCATAGCATTCCAACTAAATTTTAGGTCATATTTATAATAAACCAAGTCCAATTTGTACGTTTTAATAAAGCCACGTTGGAATTATCCGATTTATCAGCAGTTAAGAACATTTCGATATGGGCGAAAATCTTCTAGACCGCTTAAGATTTTATAGCATCCTAACTATAGATTTAATTATCCAAGCAAATTCGCACGTTTCATTAGGGTGTTCAAATACTAGTAAATCAAACATTAATTAGGGTTGCATATGATGGATTTTTTATGAAATCCGAATTTACTGCGGATAATATCAACTTTCGGTACGCTTTTCTCTTGAACTAGTATTATAATTAATGTTCAATTTTTTTTTTAAAAGATAGAGCAAATTGTATACTTTAGTGCAATAGAGCCATTTTTTCAATTTATACTATTTTATAAAAGTAAATTCTTTAACAACGTAAATGAACTTTACCTAAATTTGACAAACATAAAGCTATTGAAATTTGAAAAACCGACGTTATTGTTGAAAAGAGAATAATAAAAGCTATCGATTAAAAAAAAAAATATTTTAACAATATTAAAACACAGAACGAAATTATAACTAAATCTTCTAAAATTAAGTCAACTATTTAACAACACTTCTACAAATGGATTGCCTATCAAAATCTCAACTACACAATCTTTAACTCTGATTAGAGTGAAGAATACAAACCTTCTGCAGATATTAGATCTGAGTAGTATGACTCTGTACTAGCAGAAATTAATGCTGAGGAGGTTCATGAAATTCTTAGCAACTTATCTAATAACAAAGCCTATAAACCTTCTGAAATTAGCTATGAAATAATAAAGCATTCTAGCTCAAACACAATTCAGACAATTACAGTACTGCTTAACCAATGCTTAACAATACAAATAATTTCAAAACAATGGAAAGATAGTTGTATTTTTTCTATTCCTAAAAAACCTACCTTTGATGGAGATCTCAATAATACATGTTTAATCAGCCTTATTGAACACATTAAAAAACTTTATACTAAAATTCTAACTACTTGATTTAACTCAATTTTTACTTCTCACAAAATCTTTAACCCACACAACTATATAGCTTTATCAGGGAACAGTACAAATACTCTCATCCATATATTAAATAATATAATTGAAGATTCATACTACAACAAAAAAGAGCTATAGCTCCTATCTCAGAATATGAGTAAAGCTTATAACTCTGTCAATCTCAATCTTCTTAAACTTGCCTTAGAACGAATTCAAATTCCTTCTTAACTATACAATATCATAATTAATCTCTTAACTAACTGCACAAATAGAGTAATTATAAATTTAGAACTTACTAAACCTTATGATGTCAATAATAGTATTGATCAAGAGGAAACAATTACTTTCTTGCTATAGTGTATTTATTACGACCCTCTTATCAACAAGATCTCTACTTCTTATAAAGACTATACTATATCTGCAATCTGCAAAGATTTTATTCTTACTAACAGACACAACAAGCTAACTACATCATCTTCAGTATTAGCCTATATAGATAATACACTATAAATTACTAATTCTAAGTCAAGCTTAGAATTAATAACACAAACAGCAACATCTTTCTACAAAATGGCTAACATCTAAATCAATTCCTATAAATCAGTTCTTATTACAAATTCTAAAAAACTATTACAACTAAACTTTATTAACTCTTCTCTACAATCACAACAATCTAGTATACTATTTAAATTTCTTGAATGCTAGTTTATCTTGGATGGCAAACAAACCAAACAAACTAAACTCATCATTGATGAAATACTTAATCTAATTAATATACTCAAAACAAAGCATATAACTGACAAACAAGTTAGCTATATTATTAATACTATAATTATACCTATTCTCAAATATTGTATACACAATATTGTTCTTACTCAAACAACATATAACAAAATCCTGAGCTCATACCTTACTGTTGCCAAACATAAAGCTAGCTTAGCCTCTATAATTCCTAATAGCACTTTACTTAATCATAACATTTATAGTATTAAAAATATTTGGGATATTCAACTTCAATACCATATCTCTAACTTTTTAATTAGACTTAGTGATACAGGGCTCTTAGGTATCACTACTCAGATCAAATTACAACAACTACAAAATAATTTGTGGTCTACAACTAATATTTTATACTATCCACAACTTCAGATTGATGGTTCTAACAAAAACTCAACAAACTTTAAAATTATTCTACTTTTTAATCATCTAAATATTCCTATTCTAACAAATACTAACAACAGACAACCAACTACTATCTCAGACCTATACATACCTTTGGAAAAAATTTTCTAAAACAACAACCTTTACAACTTCTTTAAACACCAACTATGAACTAAACAAATCTTATTTCTTGAACAATTAATCTTTGCTGATAATCATATTCTCCTAAACTAGACTCATATTTCTCTAAGACTAAACTACTTGTCTAAAAGCTACAAAT